AGGATCCGTGTCTGGCATTGTCGAGCAATTTCTCATGGGATCCGCTTGAGTTGAAGGAGGTTTTGGCCACCAGGGCAACTAAAACAATCAGAGGCGTAAACATATAGTTCCTGTGTTGGTGCTTGCCCGAAGCCTGAGGCGCCGCCAGGTGGGGCCAGCGCGGACCCAAGCAACCCACGCGGACTTCCGAAACAAATGTTGTCTGCCTCGCGAGCCCCAGCCCATGTCCTGGAGGATGTTCCCCGCCGTCGGCGGCACCGGCGCAGGAGGCGGCAGGCCCCGCGAAGCCAGCCTTCCTGAGAAGGGGGAGTGAGGGGTGTGGTCGTCGTCGCCGTTGTCCTCCTCCTCCTTCCTCACCCGTGAAATCCGGAATGAATTCCACAGTGACCCGTCTTCTCCTTTCTCTTCCATTAAACAACAGGCCCGCAGCGAATTCATGTGAAGTCCAAGCATTCCTGGAGATTTTGGATTTCATTGTGGATCAGAGGACGCAGAGTGCGGGATATTCATGAATGTGTTGTGCTTGCGCTTTTGTTTCTTTTTCTTTTTTTTCTCATCAGCGCGACCAGAGTTGGCTCTCCTTCCAGGCACGTGCTGCGGCAGTGTGCGACGGCAAAGCACCACGCTTTATCTGGTCTAAATTCCACTGGCCAGCTCTTCCAAGCGGGATGCTGCTGCTCGTCACTGCAATTACGGCTTTACCCTCCTTGAGTACACACATGGGTGTATGACGTTTCACGCGAAACTTGGCCCGGAGGCCCCAGGGCCTCCCCCCTCCCAGGGACAAGTCTCCCATGCACCCTCTGTGGCCTCCTAAGAGCTTCCTCCCAGGACGCCTCCAGAAGGCGTGAAGACCTTTCAAGACGGTCCGAGTGCACATGATCCTGCGTGGTTTCTGTGCCCTGGGCGCCTCAGTTTTGTTCAATTGCACTTTCCATGTGAAGGAAGCGGATCACGCACAGTGTTGGGTGGTCCATGTTCAAGAAGTTTACGCCGTTGCACCGACCCCAAAAGGAGGGAGGAACGCATGGAAGTTGTTGTCGACGAACTATCATGTCGCACGAACCCTTCGCAACAACCAAATGCCACACTGGCCACGCGCGCTCATGTCGACGTCATACCAAACATATCAGTGTTGCGCGCATTTGCGTGCGAAATCGTCTACATCAGGCGTTCCACACAACAACCTACAGGGTTTGTGCCCGCGCGCACTTGCTGAAAGTATTAGAACAATATTACGTTTTCAGCAATTTCGTCCCAAGCCCGCATTCTCATTTCACAACGCGATGCACCCGCGTTGATCTCGCATGCGCCCAGTGCACGAATACGTATCAACTTACACCTTTGCAGCCACATGTGCGCGCCGCCATGCGCGCATGCCGACATTAGAAAACCCGTGTTTTCGACGCATGTCAAAATTTAGTTTGACAACATACATTACCCGAATATTTTCCCTTCGTCAGAAAAATCGCCAGACTTATCGAATTTCTCTGCGCGCGCACTTCCCCGTCACCAGCGCAAGCGATATTGCATCACCGCCGTTATCGTCGCCGTCAGTCGCCACCATTGTTGTCATCATCAGCACAGTCACTTTCATCACCGACACATGAACATTATCATCGTTGTCATCGTCACCAGCAACGGCGCCGTCATTAGCCTTGCCGTCGTCATCGTCATCGTTGTCGCCGTTGCCGACGTCGTCTTGTTATCGCGCCCGCCCGAGTCACCGACCCGCAGTGAGGCGCACGCGCGCCAGCGCGGCCTCTGAGCCGTGCTAGGCAGTTTCCATCGGCAAGCTCCAACGCGGCCGCACCGGTAGTGCAAAATCACCTGGCCGCTCTGCTCGCGAGCGCATGCGCGCAAGCGCGGCCGCAGAGATGCGCTAGTACTTGCCAAGCAATCAACGCAATCGCGGCTGCATTGGTTTCGCAAAACGAGTCGCGGGTGGGAAGATGGGAAGTTTCTGCGAGCAGTGGAGTGCATTCATCGTTGGTTTGGTGAGTTGCTCACATAGCTTGCACCGCATAGTTTGTACTACATGGCTTACACGCCCATGGCGCGATGACTTACACTTTAGGGCTCGGGCTTGCAAACATCTGTGTGCCGACATGCTTACACATATAAATACACATGGCAAGAATGTTTGGGTGCCCATCGACGTGTCCAACGAGGGTTTGCACCCGACTCTTGGAGAGAGCACGACGACCCCAGAGGCCCCAAGATGAGTCCAAGACGGCCCCAAGGTGTCACAATCACACGGGGACCCCGAAGGACCCCCAGGTCGCCCCAACCAGTCAACACCTGACGATATTTTCTGGCCGAAGGGGGGAGGAGGAAGAGGAAACGAAAGATAATGAGGAGGGGGGAGGACGAGACCGAGCAGGATTCGAAAGTGGTGGAGGAGGAATACGGAGCGAGGAAGTCTGATGATGTGGGAGGAGGGCGTGGAGGATCATGAGGAACAGCAGCAGCCCATGAATGGCTATGAGGAGTAGGAGAAGTCGGGGGTCATAACAAGTGGGAGGATTACGAGGCAAGTGGGGGCGGCAACGGCGGACACGTCGAAGACAAATAGTAAGCATGTGAAGGAGGCGGGGGACGAAAAAGAAAAGGTAATTCGTGAGCGAGCATTCGCGGTCACGGCTGACTGTCTGAGTCGAAGTCCGTGCCAAGTTTGGTTCCGGCCGCTGTAGTGTGGCTGATACAAACATGTGGATATGACCGTACCCCCATCAGCCCGCATTTGTCACACCTTGTGTTGGGCAGTGTTTCAGCTGGTGCTGGCCAGCCACGCGGGCGCCTTGTGAGCAACAAGAGATGACATCACAGCCATCATGTTCACCAACCACTACAAGACCGGCACCAATCTGGGTCTGGAGCTCGAGTCGTGTTTCGCAGGCGACCTCGAGAAAACGCTCGACCTCTCGCTCCAGGCTAAGAGGTGCAAGAGCGAGCGTTCCCTGGACGACCTGAGTTGGGACGGAACCATACCGCCCCATTGTGACAGCGTGGTGCATTTCGCGCGCACCCCTCGCGAGTCCTGCGCTCCGCGTCTCTTTACCACATGCAGCAGCCCCCCGTCGAGCCCTGGCTGGCCTGGTCAGCGAACCAGATCCTGGGCGAGGCGTGCCGAACAACCCGCTCCATGCTGGCGAGACGTACAACCAGTATTTGGCACGGGTACCGATCCACGTATGTTGGTCGATTCGGAAAGGGTTTCGTCTTAGGGGAATCGAAGGGTGGGCACCTCGCACTCGGCGGAGGCCGGCAGAATTGCAAAGCGAGGCGTCCCTAGAGAGGTCAGCGCCAGCGTACCCGAGATTTTCGGAGTTTCCAGGTGTGTGCGCGGAGATGAAGAGCCAGTTTCATGGTAAATGTTAAGAAAATCGAATCCTCTAAAAAACGCCTCGAAGGACGATCCGCGCGTCCATACGGTGTGCTTGGAAGATGTCTGGATGGGCTACGACGGCATGGTCAGCAAAATGGCCTCCCACATGAACCTGCCGCAGCGGCGCAGCAAACTAAGGCGAGAGGCGCAGGATGAGGAGTTGATGGTGGATGGAAGTTATGGGCGGGTGAGAGAGCGAGAGCAAGAAATAGAGAGAGAGAGAGAGGAGGCGGAGGAGAAGGCGGAGGCGGGCAAAGAAGGCCAGGATACCCCTGCAGCTGACAACTCGCATTCGCAGTCGGCAGGTCGGCGCCATAACCTAAGCGTGCGCGAAACGCGCGCGTAATTCAATAATGTGCGTCCGTTCATGATGCTTGAATTGCGTGCCATGTGAATTTCGTATACGGGTTGGTCATGTTGACAGTGCGAGTTGCACAGATGCGATGTTAGCTTGGAAGATAGGGGTAAAGACTATCAGCAACAACCTGCTGCTCATAGTGCGGCCGCACACACATTGGAACGTCAGGCTGGTCACCAGGTTTGAAGCAACAATGATGCCGCATTGCCGTCCAATGAACGATCTTGTATATGTGCGGATGGGGAGGGCAATTGGCCACGGCACGGAGCTGTGAGCAGTTTTTTGATTACTTAGCAATTTTTCTGATACAGGTGTTCAGTGCCTGTGTGTCGAGGGACGTCGGGGCTCCTTGTTGGTCGCGGTCAGATCGGGGTTCATATCGTGCGAGTTGGGCATGCCGCTTGCGAGCACTCGGACAAGTGGTGGGCCCCGGCATCGCTCTGAGATCTCTTTGTAGTGGCTTACTGCGCACCCACGGCGTGTTATCTTCACAGCTGGGCGACGTTTGGATCCATTGTCCGTACTTTCTTTGCCCATCCGCTATTGCGTGGGAGCTCCCCCCCCGCGCAGGGTCCTGGGGCCCGCGCCCGGCGGCCACGGCCACAACTGGAGGCCCCGAGGGGCGGCATTGGGTGGGCAGGTCCTCCGCCTTCGCTGGTTCCGTCTCCGCCTCCTCGTGTTGCTACTTCTGCTCCGCCTCCGCCTCATCCACCTCGTGCTCCGCGTATCCCCCCTGCAGCTCCTCCTCGCACGGCCGAGGGTTGGGGGACGTTTGCAGAGCGCAGGGCCCCCTCACCCCCTTGGACCCACGGCAGGAGCCTCCTTCCAGTGTTCCATGTGTTCGCCACGTTTGAACTCCGAGGCGGTCGGTGATGTCTCTCCGACCCGTGGCGCAGTGAAGACCAGTCCAGTCACGCTGGACTGGCGGACGCGTTTCCATGTCGCCTTGTTCTGTGCACGGTCATTTGCAACAGCATCAGTTCACACTTCACGTTTCTAGTGAGTCGTGTGTGCTCCAGCTGGCACCAGGGGATGGCACTCCATGTGCCTCATTTAACGGCCCCTCTAAAGATCCGGCCCCCCCTGCTGAGGTTGCTTGATAATTTGGCCCCCCCTCCAAGGGAGGCGCACCAATATTCCGCCCCCTTGGGCAAGTTGTGATTTCGATTTATGTCGGTGGGCATGGTGGTGATCGCCACCAGCAGAATTAGCATGGGTTATCATCATCATGGTTATCGCCACCAGCATGATTAGCACGGCGGTGTTGGTTGGATTATCATCATCATGGTGTTAGCGCCACCAGCATGATTAACAATTAAAGTCGTCTCGCAATCACCGCCATCACCAGTCGCGCGTAATACACATCCTTGCAAAAATTGTGATTCTAAAGGCGCCTTAGTAATCAGGCCCCCCTTTCACTTCAGTCACGCGAACCCAGCCTAATAATCGGGCCCCGCCCCTTTCGAAAAAGGCGCCTTGAAGATCCGGCCCCGGGGGCCGCTTCTTAAGACACATGGAGTATTTCGGAATTGGGTTAGTGGAAAAGAGGCGGGGACGAGAAAGGACGAGGGTGGAAGCAGGGAGGAGGAAGAGTGGAAAGGAGGAGGAAGACGAGCACGAGGTGGAGGGATAGGAAGCGCACCGGGTACGTAGCGCCACGACGGAACCACCCAGGGTGCCCCCATCCCCATGCGCTCTAGCCGGATTCGTGGGGAAGATAGATAATAGCTTTCGGCCCATCCCGCCACGTGTCTGGGTTGTGGTTCGGAGGCCTCTTGGATGCATATGAGAGTCTCTTGGGATTCGGGAATGCTTGGAGGACTCTTGTGTGCTCTTGGGGGCCTTTTGGGGCGTCTTGGGGGCCTCTTGTGGGCCTCTTGGGGCGTCTCGCAGGGGCCTCGGGAGCTGGGGGCCTCTTGGGGTCATCTTGACGCGGAAGGCTCGAAATGTCCGTTCGAGTTCCCCGTTTGGGGTCCCAATTCGGTGCTTTTTGTGCAATCTTGGGGGCCTCCTGGGCCGTCTTGGGGCCCCCTTAGGGCGTCTTGGGGCCTTCCTGGGTGCTTCCTGGGCAGTCCTGGGGTGCGATTGGGAGTACGTTGGGTCGTCTTGGACCGTTGGAAGCTGAACAGATCGAAAAGGCTAACCTCCGTCAAAAACCAAAGGGGCATCAATGATTTGGGCCTCGCAGGGCCCTCTTGGGGGTGCTCTTGGGGCTCCCTGGGTGCTCCTTGGGGGCCTCTTGGGCCGTCTTGAGGCCACCTTGGGCGTCTGAGAGCGATCTTGGGGCGACTTGGGCCCCCCTCGGTCGTTTGGGGGGCTTCTTGGGAACACCTATGCCCGTTTGGGGGACCCTCCTTGGGCCTTCTTTCCACGAGCTCCAGTTGGCACTAAGTACAGGTTATTTCGGCACTCGGGGTTCGGAAGGAAGAGTTGTCTCGAATTGATCGGAGGACGCGTACCAAAACAGCAGTACATGCTTCATGACGTGCTTTGTTTGCCCGACTCCATGGAAGACAACCCATAGATATTCGGTTTGGACAGGACTACAGCACATGCGCGACAGCTTACCCAGTCGGTATGAGTCACGAGAAGTATGGTGTCGGAATTGCCAGTCTCGCCCCGCATCTAGCGCTACGGCTCGCAAGGCACACGTGCACCCTAGAGGGAGTAGCAACACATGACACTGGTGTGATCCTTATTTCGGAGCTTCTTGGGGTTTGAGGGAAGTCGGACACAGGCTGAATGTCAGAATGCACGGGAGCTGAGGCTTGGACAACGAGGCCAGAACCAGTATGAGCACAATTGGCCCCAGCTGTCACTGTCACATGTTACGACCGTGGCCGATTTTGGTATGGGTTGTTTTATCTCGACATGCAGTGTGGCGTGGTGCAGCGATTTGGTGTGCAGTGGTTTTGCACTTCGTTGTTTCAGAGCTTTGTTTGCAGTGCGATGCGTTGAGTTGCGTTGCGTTGCTTTGAGGCTGCTTCGCATTGTATTGCGTAACTTTGGGTTGGATTGTTCCGTTCTGCTTCTCTTGTTATTTGATGCAATGTGCCTTGAATGACTTCCCTCTGCTATACATTGCCTTGCAATGCCGTGGAATTCGTTGCGTTGCATTGCGTTGCATTGCATTGCGCTGCCATCCATTGCCCATTGCGCGAATCGCGTTCTCGAGTGGGGGGTGCGGAACATGGGAAGGTCAGCCCCCTGGGGAGAAAGAGCCTGAGGCGTCTGGTTTCCAGGAGCAGTCGCAACGGGCTATCTTGCGCATTTAGTTGAGACCGTTGTGGCAACGTTTTCCACCGGCTTGCAGAACGCAGAGCGTCTGAACAAGGGTGCAACGACTGTTCTGCTGGGGTGCTGGGATTTCAGTGGCGTCGGTTGTAGCGCACCTTGTGTGGTTGGCTGCACGGTGGACTACACAGAGTACCAGCTACCAGTGTGAATGTTATCGCTCGCACGCACGGGAGGGTGGGCTGGGGGGTCGAAGGGGGCCAAGACGAGGCGTAATTGGGAGAAGGATGAAGGAGGAGGACGGAGGACAGGGGGAGGGGGAGATGAGGCGGAGGACCGTGAGGGGGAGGGAGGCCTGCCGCCCTTTGGATTTGCAATTCCCACCGTCGCGCGGTACCGCGGTACTTCTTCCCTCCCTCCCCTTCCCGAGCATTGACTGGGGCACTGGCGCGGCCGAAGTTGTTAGGAAATATCCGGGCTGGGCGACCAGGGAAACGCCCGCCAGCGGCCGCCACCCGCCCGTGGCCGCCCTGGCCGCCTGCCCGCAGAGGCTTCGGGGGCTGCGGCAGCCTGCCGCGGGGGCCGTACTGCACGTGCGGCTCGACCCAGTCGGCGAGCGGAGCCTGCAGTGTCGGCTGGAGCAGGCTGCGGCGCCTCAGGTTGCCGCGGGCTGCGCGTGAGCGCTGGGCTCCTCGCCTGAGAAAGGAAGGGGGGCACGCGCGCATCGGACTTCCCTCGCTCTGCAGTTCCCATTCGTCGCTGGCTGCCGCTGCCGCTGCCGAGCAAGCCCTGCTCGGTGGAGTCTCGCCGCCAGGCCGTCGGGACGGTCAGGCGCACGCCGAGCGCACTTTCGTTCGCGCCTTGGTTCCCGGAGCACCTAGCTCGTTGGAAGTCACAGATGCTCTGCAGGTGATCATCGATGGTGCTGGATCGAAAAGAGCCCCATGGCCACGCCCGTCGAAAACAGGCTTCTCCCCAGGTCTTAGCACAGCACACACCCCAACCCCAGGCCATGTTGTTGTGATTCTCGCCGACGCTGCTGCACGAGTTTTGAAACAGTTCATTGGCTGTGGCATGTTTATTGCGGTCGCAATGCGTGCTACCGCCTACCAATTGCAGAAGCTGTTTGTTTCAGCTGGCTCCTCAAAACTGCGTTGCCGCCTGTTCGCTGTGCTCGTCCTGGCGCTAATGTTGGAAATCGGCATGTCGACCAGGCACCTCGCTCGGAGAATTGACAGGAAGCTTCACACGAAACGTGCATTTTCTTATGAGTCTTGGTCGTACCCGGGAAAGGCACCCGGGACCCCGTGGGAAAGCATCGGCCACCCCAGACGTTGTTTGAAAGTGCCGCATTGGGTTATCGCTGTTGTCGGGAAATCCCGTCACTTCGCCAACTATCATCAAACATCGTGAAAGCCATGTTTACATTGCACACGTCTCCGTTCCTGGTGTTTTTGATACGTCATTTTCTTTATCAGCTTGCCATCTGGACCTGGTTTTCCCTCCCTGCTTGGCAACAGGAGGATATTCAGCGTTATGTTGGCTAAGGGTCAATGTGATATGGGTGCCCCCCCCTTTCCCCTTACTCCCCCTCTTTCCTTTCCGAGAATTTACCCGAGGCCAGAGCGGGAGGAGACTTGTGACACTTGTCGAATGGGATGCGGGCGGGTCTTGCGGGCGGGTATTGGAGAGTGAATCGTCAAATGCGTGGCAAGGTCTGGCTCAAGCGCGGTGTTTCTTGTTATATGATCGAAGCGATCTTGGCTCCGAAAAATATTACTCAGGGTACGACCCAAGCAAGACAAGCGCGCACAGCCGCAGTCCAAGCTTATTTAATCGCTTCGCTCATGCCGCCGGCCCTGGAGCCCTCTTTAGGGCCTCTTGGGGGCCTCTTGGGGACCTCTTGGGAGTCTCTTGGGGCTCCTTGGCGGCGTTTTGGAGGCCCCCAGGGCCTCTTGGGGGGCTCTTGGGGGTAGTCGATTGCGGCTCCCCCCTCGGAGGCCACGATCCTCGTGAGGGGTGTCGAAAAATACCCTCCCCTGGAGTGGTCTGGTGGCTTCTCCCGGGCTTCTCTCGGGACCTTGCCGGGGTACTTTTCGTCCGGGGGCCCCCAGGGGCCGCTCCGCGCGCGCGAACTAGAAATATTGTTAACAAGTTACCGGAGATCTTAGCACGCCTCTGGCCCGCTGGGCCGGCGAATTCTTAGCACCGAGTCTTTGGCTCACAGGAAAGGTCTAGGTTGCTACGCTCCACTACTCAGGCATCTTTGTGGTTGGCGTCCTGGCGTCGCGACAGCCCTTTACGGGCTGTGTGGCGCCGAGCAGCTTGATAACGGCAAGGATCATGGCGCATGGCCGTTGTGCACGACACTTCCGCTGCAGCGGGGCTGGCGTCAGTTGAAGAAATAGAGCGGGCTGCCTTTTGGGAAGTTCTGCGGGCAGCTTCGATGATATTTAACTGCGCTGAGGTGCGTCGGTTGTACTTGATGACGTATGAGGCCGAGTGCGGTGAGTCGGCGAATGTTGTGCGATGCCGGTTGGATGTGTTACCATACGTTTGGAATGTTGGGATATGTTACCATATTTTGTTGAGGGATTAAACATCCAACCTGCGAAGCTTCAATTGTGACCTTGACGAACCAACTTCAGGACGCAGAATCTGTTATTCGTGGATGTGTTTTGTCATGTGCTCAAGTTTGAGTTCAGTTGTTGATGAGGGGACCCGTAGGCCTCGTTAGAAGCATTGGATGTGTTTGACGGTTATGATACTCGTGTTGTATAGGCCCTCCAGGCATCTGTTGGGTTGGATGTCGGGACAATCGCACACTGTTCGGCTGCAAAGTGAACGCTCAGGAAGTATTCGAAGGAACCAGTGGATTGCACTTCGCAGAGCCGTACGATGACAACACGTCGCCAGTCCGACTTGGCATTGCGATGACAAGCGCGCTCGAGAGCGCAACGAAATATCATTTTGACAATTGTGTTTCTGCAAAGGCGCGTCTGGAGTTGCAGGTCTTGCCCACTTTTGCAAGTGGCACGCATTGTTTTTGGTCACGCTGGGTCCGAAGTCACGCCTCAATCCTGGCACTTCTCTCGTGGCTGTACTCGCGAGTTGCTGTCAGATCTCTGGGTGTTTGCAGATACGTCACGGAAAGGTTTTAGAAAGTTGCAGTCACTGTGGGCTTAGAACATTCGGCCTGCCGGAATCGAGGGCGACAGGGGCGTTTGTGCGCATTTGCAGCGCGGCAGCGCGGGTTTCCTCAGAGGGGTTTGTGGGCTGCCTTTCCAGTGACAAGGTCGTGGAAGCGTAGCTTCTCTTGGCGGGGCCAGTGGCTTGCAGGTGCAGGACCGCCTCCCAGAGCGAGGGTGCTGCCAGAAAGTGCAAAACCGCGGGCCCAGGGCTGAATGGTGCCCATCGTGGGGTGGTGTGTGAGCCTGCTAGGGCCAGAGACCAGAGAGTGAACACTGTACGTATGTGTGCGCTTGCACGGGAAGGTGCAGGGCGTTAGTGCGGTTGATGTTTCCTGTTGCCTTAATCTATGCTCAAGCCTCCTCTCCGGTGGGGGGGGCGCCGATGATCCCAGGCGCGGGCGCGCCCATATCACCGTTCGCAGTCCTCGCGTTGGGGCTGCTCCTGGCGGGCTGGCGCGCGGCGGAGCGGCCCGTGGCGCCTGCGGGCCCGCCTCGCCCCGACCTTCCTCCGCCGCAAGCCACGGCGGGAGGCTGGTGCCCCGCTGGACCGCCCGAGTGGTTCGTTGGGATCTGCCCGCCGCTTGCCCCTTGCCCGGCCTGCCCCGCATGTACCTGCGAGGGCGGCGGGGAGGTCGTCCTGGGCGACCAGCTGCTGACGGTGCTCGGGCCGTCGGTGCTGACCAACGTGCTCGGCTACGCGATCGGACATTGTCGGGGCCGCAGGCGCGAAGCTGCGGGCCTCGGGGCGAATGGCGCTCCTCCCCTTCGGCAAGGAGGAGGAATGGTACAGTGACGAGGTGCCTGGCCAGTACGTGGGCATGTGATATGACAGCGACGACGTCGACCACGAGAGGTTGCTTCTCTACCCCCTGGGCGGAGGCGCGTGGTGGATTCGCATTCCTGACGGAGATGCGTATTTTTAGGATCTGGCTTGCCAGGGCCCCGAGGACGGGCCGACGGCGCGCTACCCGCTGCCCGAGGACGGGAGTCGGACCCCCAGCCGACGGCGCCGCTAGCTTTACCGCTTCGCGGCGCGGATCGGCCCCGTCGAGCTGCGCAAGGGCATCCCGCGAGGCCGCCAAGCCTGTCAGGGGGGGACGCGGGCAGGGCAGCGCGTCCTGGAGCCGGCGGAGGTGCGGGGGCCAGGCGGCGAGCGGATGCGCATCTCGCTGTTCTTCGGCGGGGCCTTCCCACCCCGTCGGGTGCGGGGCAAGCAGGTCCTGGACGCTGGAGATGGGGCCGCCTTGGGGGGGCGCGCACCCGGTGGGGGGTCTGCGACCCCGCTCGCCCTCCCCGAGGCGGCCGAGCACTCGCGGCGCCCCGGGCATGCCCGGGTCTTGGCGGAGCCCGCTGAAGCGGCTTCCATCGGGAGCGAGGTGGACCTGCGCCGTGTGCGGGTGCTGTTCGCGAACGAGCTGTACGCTCTCGCGGCGTGGTGGGCGGCGTTGCGGTTCGGCTGCGACAGACGCAGGTGGGGGAGATCCCGAGCTATGCAGATAAGCGCCCGAGCTATCTGCGGAGCGCGCTGGGTAGCCCGGGGGGCGCGGACCTCCGTGAGCGCCTGGGCCGCCCGCAGCCGCCTTATCGCCCGCTCGCCCCCTTGCGCGGGAGGCCGCGGCGGAGCCAATCCAGAGCGAGGACATCAGGGTGCTCGCGGTCGACTTCGACGGCCAGGGCGGGCGCTTCAAGGCCTGGCGCGTCGCACTCACCGCCTGTAAGAATGCGCTGAGGATGGGCGGGGGTCCGCGGTTGTGGCCGCGGGAATGCACGCGCGAGAAGGGGCTTGCCCCCGCGGGCCGCGGGGCCCACGAGCTGCTCTGCATCTGCGAGGCCCTGCACTTCGCGGGCTGCTGCGACAAGGTGAACCTGTGCGCGCTGATGGCGATGGAAGTGCGCCGCGAGCGGCGGGCGGGGGTCGTCGCTGCCCGCGCCAGCCCGCGGCGCGCGCAGCGGGGGCTGGCGAAGTACTGCACGGGGGCGCAGTCGGCGGAGAACCCGCGGGCCCACGTGGCGCGTCGGATCCGCGAGGGCCGCGAGGGCCAGCAAGCCTTGCGCGGGGCGCCGACCCTCGGGCCAGAGGGCGCCCGGGGTCACGGCGCAGGCGCCGGGCGCGGCGCTGGCGGCGCTGGCGGCGGCGCTGGCGGCGGACGAGGCGGAGGAGGCGGGGGCGATGTGCTGGCGGGCGCGGCCGATGGGGGTCGCGGCAGCGGCGGCGGCCCCCCACCCCGCCTCACGATTGAGACCTCGGCCAGGGGGGCCCCCGACCCTGGCCGAGATTAAGGGGCTGGCGGCCGCCCCGGATTGGCGGCCTCGCGGCGGCAGCGAAGCGTGTTTCCGCCCCCCGTCGCTGCCTCCCCGCGGCCGCCGGAGCAGGCGGGCGCCGCGGTCGGCGGGCCTCGGCGAACGACTCGCTGCGGACTCTCAATTGGATAGCGGGCTTCAAGGGCTTCTGGGCGGCCGACCATGGCCCGGACGTCGCGCCGGGCGACGTGCAGGCCGACGTCCAGCGGAGGCGAGTCGGCTTCGAGCTGGCACCCGCGCCCCTCCGCCGACACCGACGAGGCGGCTCTCCAGAAGCTGCTTCGGGGGCGCTCGCCGCGCCAGGCGGCCGGGAGTCCGACCGGGGTCGCGCCCTTCAAGCTCGACCTCGTGAGTCTTCCCGACTCGGCGAGCGGGCGCCCGCTTATCTCGGACGCTGCGCGCGCATGGGTCTTGGAACATCTGGTGGATTATCATGAGCGCATGCTGGCGCCCCCGATGGACGAGCGCAGCGCGACCCCCATGCTTCGATCCCGCGCAGAGGTTCAATCAGAAGGACTAAATCGGCGTTGCAAAGGTTTCGTCATACACTGAGACTCGATCATCTTGCATAAGCAAGGGCAAATCCAGCCGGGTGGGTTTTCTAAACCCGTGTGATTGTACGCCATTTTAAATTCGCCCGTATATATATATATATATATAAATAAATGTATATATATACATATTCACACATAGATACATACATAAATGTATATATGTATATTGTAGTAAGGGAGGAAGTCTCACTTTCGGAAATCCCGGATCTTCCATCCGACCGCTCTGGACTCAGTCCGCTAGGAATCAGAGGGGGGCGGGGGGGGCAGCTTGGCGCGGTCGGGGCAGTGGCCAAACTCTGCCCGCCCGCCCACGCGGAAGTAAGACACGAAACCCATGCCATCTTCAATATCTCATGAAGCGTGACGAACTATTGTTACGGCGTGGTATCATCGGCTGCTTCGTCGTCTCAGTGACATCGGCATCATGACCTGGACGCCCACCCCGAAGTGCGAGGTGGGCCTCCTCGCGGTGGAGAAGGGCTAGGGGCGGCGCAGCGTTTGATAGTAGACGCGAGACGAGCGAATGCGCTCCAGGGGCCCGCCTGGAGTGCCCCTTCCTCAGCTCGGAGGGCCTGTCCCGCATCGAGGTGGGGCTGCCGGCGGAGGCGCCGCTGGGGCCAGCGCGAGCCGCAGAGCTGCTGTGTGATTTCTGCCTGCCAGCGGGGCCGTCTAATGTCTCCAATTGCTTCCATCGGCTGCGGGCGCCGGCCCGGTTGCCCGACTTTTCTGCCCCTCCGCGGCCCCGGCCCACGTGAAGGGCACGGCGGGGGCCGACGCGGGGGCCGCCGCTTGGCGCGCGCCGAGGCGGTCAGCCCTTGCTGGGCGGCGCCGCCGATGAACTTCACTGTCCAGCGGGTGGCTGACCCTCGCGGGCCCCGCCGCCCCGCGACCGCGGGCCGCCGCTGGCGGCGGCGCTCGGCCGCCCCAAGGAGGAGCCTCTCCTCAGCCACTACGCGCTCGTGAACAACCTGGGGGCCATCGGAGTGCGCGAGGAGCGCGCGGGCCAGGTCCTGGAGCAGCGCGAGGAGGGCTTCAACCGCAAGGGAAAGCTGCTGCATAAATCTGAGATGTCACGCGGCGCTATAGTCGCGCTGGGGGCTGAGCTGGACGGCGCTGCCCTCCGCGCGCGGGTGACACCCGAACGGTTCTGGATACTGCGCGCCGCCCTGGGCGCCTTGCTGCGGAGGCAGGGGGTCAGCGCGCGGTCGCTGGTGGTGGCGCTGGGCCGCTGCACCTCCGCGGCGCTGCGCTGCCGGGGCCTGCTGGGCAGCTCCAATTCCGTCTGCGCCTTAACGAGCGCGGACGCGTGGCAGGCTCGGTCCAGGCACTGCGGGCCGCATATCGCACTGAGTTGCAGGCCCTCAGGGGCTCGATGATCTTCATGGCGAGCGACTGGCTCCGGGACAGGAGCCCCCTGGTCGCGCAGACTGACGTCGGCCTGGATGGCTGCGCCGCGGCGCAGGCCTTCTGGCCTACACAGGCGGCACAGGGGGCGGGGCGCGTTCCCGAGAGACGCCGGTTCAGGCGCGCGGGCTCGCACCGTGCTCGAGGGCGCGCTTGAGGCCGCGGGCTTCGAGCGGCAAGGCGATGGCAGCTGGGCCGCCGTCGCGAGCAGGCATTGCGCCCTGGGCGCCGAGGTGCATGGGGGGGCCGAGAGTGCCCAGGAAGCCGCGGCGGAGTGGGCAGCGGATCTTTCCTTCCCTGAAGTGCCCGCTCAACTGTTGGAATCGGATGTGTGGCGCCTGGTGAGAGTCCAGAAATGGGGTCGTTCTGAGGGGGGCCCTGTGAAGGGAGCCAGGGCTCTCGTGAAAGGTTTCATGCGAGTTGCGACAAGCGTGCACGTCAGGAATACCAGACAGCTCCTCTTGTGTGACAATATGTCAATCACCCTCTCTTTCGGTAGGAGTCGCGCGAGAAACTTTTTGCCTCTCGTTTATATTCGGCTTTTCCCAGGCCTACTGCCTCGCCAGGAACGTCCTCGGGGTCGTCCGTTGGGTCCCTTCTGAGCTCAATGCTCAGATTAAGGCGCGAGGGCTTCTGATGGCGGCAGTGCCAGCAAAACGCTAGTTTATGATATTATTGTAAGCTTTAGTGTCAAAGGCAACGTTTTAAATGATATGTTCGACAACGCACAACCCCAAGCCATTGTGCGATACCTGTCCCTGCAAATGCTGCCGCCTGCTGCTCTGCCTCTTCCGTAGCTGGTCGGCCCCGCGATTTACTTCCAATCCGCAGTCCATGTTCGGCCGACACACGCGGGCGATGTCAGCGCGATGGGCCGCGGCCAGCGGAAGCGCCGAGCCAGCCTTCCGCCGCCAACGCCTCGCCCCGCCAAGAGCCGGAGGGGCCGCCAGGCACTGGCGTTGGTCAAACGCCCCGCGCTCCGCACGCTCGATGCCCAGCTGGTGTTCCGCGACCGCCTGAGCTGCGCGCGGGAGGGGGTGATGCTGCCCGAGGAGGCGGAAACGGCGACCGCGCCGAGGCTGGCCGTCGCCGACAGCAGCAGCACCGACGTCGAGGAGAAGCCCGAGCGAGACTCCGCGAGGCAGGCGGTGCTGCGGCGAACCGGCCGTCAGCGGAGGCGGCGCTTCTTGGGGGCGGCCCTCGCGACGGCGGCCATCGGCGACAGCGGCTCAAGGTTGCGCCGAAAGGTCCTGGAGCGAAACCAGTCGGAAGTCTCAGGGTCCGCGACCTTCGCGGGGGTCCGCGAGCTCGTCAGCAACGAGAATGCGGACAGCAACCTCGACGACTACTTCAACCACCTGTACTTCAGGGGTTGGGGCGACAAGAATGGTGAGCAGATCCTGGCTGGCCTCGTGCGCCTGGCGCCGGAGTTCTCTCGCTTTGGCCGCCAGCTCCCCTGGGTTTGCCGCTGCGAGAAGTGCTGGAGGCGGCGGGCGCCGAATCGCAGCCGCCGCAGCTGGCCGCTGGCCTTGCGGGCGGGCATAGCATGGCGCTTGGCGGCGCGGGGCTACTTGCAAGTTGCAGTCTTCCTGCTGGTGTCGGTCAGCAGCTATCTGCGGCCCAGCCAGCTCATGGGCCCGAAGAGAGGAGTGCTGATCGCTCCCGCGGCGGGCACCCCCAACTACTGGAACCTGCTGCTCTTCCCCATCCCAGCTGCCAGGCCGCAGCAAGACTTGGCTTAGCGACGTCAGCATCGCGCTGGACTCCGCGCGCCTCCAGTTCTTGGCGCCGATATGCAAGATACTGGCGTGGGGCAACACGGGCGAGCTGGCGCGGAGCTTCACGTGTCCCCAGTGCGTAGCAGAGTTCAAAGAGTCGGTGGCCGAGCTCCACGTGACAGAGAACATAGTGCCGTACCAGACGCGGCACCCGGGCCCGTCGATCGACCTGACTGTACCGCTCGATCGCATAAGTCACGCTCTCTGGCCAGCCACCTCAAGGGCCGCCACACCCTCGACCTCTATGCCGGCGCAGGCGGCGTCGCACGGGCGGCGATCCAGCGGGGTTGCAGCGCTCGCGCCCGCGACAGCCCATTCGCGCCGTTGATTGCCCATGGGGGCTACCAGCAAGTCAGCTCACGTCGCGTCAGGTGCAGCGCCTGCGTCAAGGCAATGTGATTTTCAGAGGTGCCCTCGCGCTGCTGCGCTGTCTGCGTCACTTCAGACTTCCGACGGTTCTGGAGCGCCCGATGAATTCGAGAATTGGGCATGCGCCCGAGTTGAAACAGTTGTGTCTAACGCGAGGCGGTCATACCAGAGTGTTGGATCAGTGCCAATACGCCCGATTATGGCACAAGCGCACGAAGCTCATGCTTCTCTATATAGGCGTGCTAGATTCAGGACAATTCGATCCCATATGTAAAAACAACGAAAGGATTTGCAGTATAACTGACCGTCAACATTTCTATCTTAAAAAAAGCGGCTCCTGCCGGCCGCAAATGGACCGCTATGGCAGCATCTTGCCCGCCTTCCCATTGCAAAACGATGGTGCGCGCTCAGCTATCTAACTCCGGGACACCATTGCCTCAGGCTTACCGCGTCTCTCGTTTCGAGTGTGTTGTCCCGCCCGCCCTGAGAACCGTGTTCGGTCTTGGGAAGACCGTCTTCGGGTTTGGGACTCTTGAGCTCGGGCCCCCCCTGAGGTCTTCGGCCATATGTCTAGCTCTTTTGCTCGCAGATCGGGAGGCGCCCCGGTCGCCTCGACGCGTGGCACCTTGTAGCAGATTCGTTCCCCCCAAGTAAAAACGGAACCATTTGTGTGTGCTTTCGCGGGAAGGTTCGGGGCGCTAGTGCGGTTGATGTTTCTTGTTGTCAGAATATATGTTCAAGCCTCCTCTCCGTTCCATCAATGCTCTCTGCTTTGCCCTTCTCGGACTTTTGAGCTTGGGCCCCCCGTTTATGTCTTGGGCCCTCTTTGTCGCTCTTCTGTGCACAGATCGGAAGGTGCCCCAGTCGCCTCGACGCGTGGCACCTTGTAGCAGATTCGTCCCCCACGAATAAAAAGGGAGTCATCTTATAAGATTAGGGGATATCATTGATGAGCCCAGGGGCACGCGAATAAGATCCACGCGCTCCTCAACATGGTAGCCGAGGCAGGGGCGTCCCTAGGGTCTTTGGGAGTGATTCGGGGCTTTCCGAAGGTCTCCAGAAGGTCTCCGAAGGTCTCTGCACATGGAGGTCCCCGAAGGGTTCTGAAGAGCTCCAGAGGCCCAAAGGTTGCCGAACAGACATAGGAGTGTCGACCTCCGATGCTGGAGGGTATTATTTGTAGAAGCCATGAGCATCGACAGCGCCGGCAAATTTTCGGCATCGGGATCTTTAAGATCAGGAACCGCGGCGGGGGACAGAGAAGGAGAGGGATGAAGGGCGAGGAACTTGGCGGAAGGAAGAGGGAGTAGAACAATGAGGGAGGCAGGGAAGCCGAGGAGAAACATGATGAGGAAAGAGGGGGCGGCGGCGGCGGAGCTCTGCGTGAGGACTGTGCGTCTGACAGTGGCTCTAGGGGGGCAGGCTCGCTCGGGGGCTATGGGCCCAGAGGAGGAAGTGATGTCCTCAAGTGATGTCCTCCAGCGCTCTGCCAGGGGAGAGGGATGACATGCTACGGGTAGCCTCACCCCCAGCGGGGCCCCAAGCCCACAGGGTGACAGGGAACCACCCCCCCACACAGGAAGAAACGGAAGGAGGGAGAGGGGGAAAGAGACAGGGCGGGGTCCTCGCAGAGGATTGCCCGCAGCCCTCCTGGGCCGCTCGTTTGGGCGTCATCGCCCTGAGAGCCGCAGCAGCCGCCCGTGCGGGCAACGCCCTGTAGTCCAGGCGCCGCCGTGCCGCCATGCCGTCGTCGCCGCCGTCCTGCATTTTCTCCTCGCCGGCGTGGAAGTCCGACACGTCGGGCGAGGGCCCCGCTGCACTATTGTCGTTGCGCCATTGGCCACGGTGCGGACCAGAGAGTACCATCCGCAGTGCGCGGTCGAACACGGGGAGCTCCTGACCACGTCGGAGCTCTTGACGAAGAGCTGGGCGGCGCGGCCCTGCGCCTGCGCGTACTGCGCCATGCGCTCCGCCCCTGCCTGGCCCTGTCGAGGCGGCAGCCTCACGGCTGCCAACTCCATCCCCCGCAGAGTCGATAGGAGACTCGCGGCGCAGCGGCGCGATGCGCGACGAGGGAGGCGGGGGCGCCGCGGACGGCGCGCGAGCGCCCGTGCGCTGGCTTCGGAAGCCGAGGCCCGAGAAGTTGGCGCCAGGAGGGGCAGAAGGAAAGAGTGAGGAGGGAGGATGGCGAAGAGGGACCAGGAGGGAGGAGGAGGAGGAGGAGGAAGAGGAAGACTGAGGATGGAGGGAGGAGGTTGGGCCTGAGGGCTCCACAAAAGTGAGATGTGGACCGAATTCGGGCCGAAAGCCTGAGGTGTCTTGACGTTTCGCCGTCATCTTCGGTGGCCGTCGCCCTCTACCTCTTCATCCCCTCCTTTCCAACTCTCTTCGGTTCCTCTTCCCTCAATCCAGTTCCTTATTATTCCGTCTACGACAATGACAGCATATGAGCATATGCGTGCGATTCTCGCCCTTGCTACTGTGCTGTGCAGGGGCGCCCCCTCTCGCACGTGGTTTGCTCACACAATGTTTAGACCATTTGTTAGTTTTCCAATGTGCTGTTCACAATGACTATCTTGAACCCTCAACAATGATGCTCCCGCTGCAGTTTTGTCGACGTTTTCAAAATCCGATGGCGCTTCCGCCCAACTGAACGACATTCTCGCTGCAGCGCTGGTCGTCGTCGCATCTGTCCTCCGCTCGTCCGTTATTCGTCATGTTTCCTGCAAATCCTGGTCATCCTTCGTTGTGGTCTTTCTGCCTGACCCTGCGTCTCCGTCGTCCTGATGGCTGGCTATCGTTGATGCCACCGATGTGCCCCGCAAGGGGTGGAACTCCCCAATCAAGCGTGCTTGCTGGATTAGTTGCTCGGCTGTCCATTGATTGGTTGAGCAATGCCACAGAGCTATATGCTATGACTGGCCCTGGCACTCACTCCATGCTAATGGCACGTCTTACTTTGTGCTGCTACGTTCCATCATGGTGTGTCACTCTGTGCTAGATTATGCTATGATAATCAATGTTGCGAAACTGCGCCCGCAGCGGGCTTGCCCTCCTTCTTACTGTCTGTGCTCGTCGCGCTTATATTCCTAAGTTCGCCCCCCGTCACAGGCGTCCATCTCCTTCCTCCGCTTGGTGCGACTTCCCTGTTTCATGCCATTCGTGTGCTTGATCATCTGTCTCCTCATTCCTCCTTGAACTTACTGCCCTTCCGAGTCGTCGTATCGTCCTCAGCCTGGCCTTCACCCTTCGCTGTCGCATCTCGTCTCTCTTCCCCTCCGCCTCCTTTAATGCCCTTTGCAGTTCCCTTTCGCCTCCTTCGTGCCCCTCCCAGCTCTTGATATCCGAGGTCTTCTCCGACAAAGCTGCCATGCCGGGGTCCATGCCTTCTTGGACACACGACTCTGCGAATGGAGGGAGCGGTGGGATGGCAAATGTGACCCGAGCGCACCTTTCTTGCCCCCTCCCCATCTGCGTCCTCCCCCCCCGCCCTCCCACCTCTCTTCTTTTTTGGATTTACGCATACCGTGCCGGTCGAGCCGCAAGGAGATGAGGCAGGGTTTGCAAGCGAACTTGGACAGGCTGGCCAAGCTCGAGATGAACGTCCGAAAGGCTGGTGACCCAAGGGAGGTGGGGAAACGTGGCGTGAAAATGATGACCACGCAATTACATTTTCTGAAAGGCTGCGCCCTCAGCCGCCAGCCCCCCTGGCTGAGCCATCTTGTTGTTCTAGTGGGGGCCTTCCGTGGGACATTTTGGGGCATATGGGGCCATATTGGGCAAGATTAGGTAATATTGGGTTTATGTTGAGGCCCTGGGCCCATCTTGAGGGCATCTTGGTGCAATCGTGGGGCCTTGTTGGACCATCCTGGCCGATTTGGGCGGCATCTTCGCGCTGTCGGGGGCCATCTCATGGCCGTCTCGGGCAGTCTCAGGGCTCTCGGGGCCGTCTTGAAACGGCCTTGGGAAATCTGATGAGCAAAACGTGGGACAGGCGAAGCACCTTGGACCCAGAATGCGTTTGTTTCCAAGGATCCTCATGCGGTGGTCCGTAGCCATTTTGGCTCAAGCCATTTTGGCTCAAGGCTTCCGGGCCACGATCTCGTCAGTTCCCGAGGGTCAACCACGGCCCGCCTGCTGGCAGCTCTTTTTGGCCACCCCACCATCGTACTCTTTGTCTCTCCGTTCCTCAGCCGCGATGGGGAAATCGCGCCGTGCGGACCGAAGGACTCCTGCCCGATCCTCTTCGCCATCATTTTCGTCCGCTTGTGGCAAGGGTCTAGCTTTTCACGAATAGGTTTAGCGTGATGTTTCATCCAGGGGATCTTTGACAGAGTGCGCTTGTGTCCGTACCTGTGGCTCAAGGCAAAACATTCGCTTGCTCCTGCTGCTGCCACAGTTGGTAGCGGAGCGGGGTCGGGCCCGGGGCCATGGGCGGGAGCGAGCAGCTCCCAAGGGGGCTTCTCGGTGCGATTGTTTAGTGCAAAAACCATAGGTTTTACTCGAATTCGAGACCCCCTCCTTTTCTGTCTTTTTTTTGGGGGGGTCTCAAACGCGGCTCGGAAACCATTTTTCATTGCAGCGGGCTGGTATTTTCAACGAGGGGCTTTGTTTCAGTAGCAAGAATACTGTATGAAGTTTGCTTATTAACCTTGCCAAATTATCCTCGCTGGTCTGTTTTAAATTTAGTATCGGTAAATCTTCAAATCTTCAAATCTTCAAATCTTCAAATCGCCAATCCTTCGCATGTTCAAGTTTCCAAACTGGTTCTATCCTTCAAATCTTCAAATCTTCAATGCTTCCATTATTTATTTTCCTTGTTGCAAATTTAAACTTTCAAACCCTCAAATGTGCAAGCGCGCGGAAACTGTTTGAACCGTTAGGGCCGCAACCCGCGTCGAACAATTAGGTTTTTGCGGAGCGCATTCTGAACATATCTCTTTCCCAGATTATGCTTCATATAAATGATTGTTCATTGTTCCATTTACAAGTTCATGGTTGATGTTTCGTGGGTTGTAACGAACGACGGCGCACGCCATTGCGAATGCCACTAAAGCACGGGGCGCGCACGAACGAAGCACAACAGCATGGATAGGAAGATGACGACGAAAAGAGAGAGGAAGGGACAGACACGACATATCGAAACCACACATAAAATCAGAAGGAATAAGGGTATCTTAAGCAGAACAATGCGGATAACAATGAGGAGGAAAAGGAGGAGGAAGAGGAGGGGACAATGATGAGGAGGAAGAACGGCAGAAAACGGAAGGATGGAACAGGGGAAGGAGCACGAGAACGAAGAAGTGAGGGACGAGGAGGAGGAGGGGGAGGAGCAAAGGACGACTCAGCAAAGGGGCGGGCAGGGCGAGCAGCAGGAGAACGCGAGCGGCAATTGTATTATTTGTAGTGACTCGGTTCAAGTCGTGGGCGTTCCAAATCGCATTTTGCCTCGCCTTCGAGTCGCGGTGAAGGCGGGAGTTTTTGCTGATGTCGAGAAGTTTCAGTTCGCGTGAAGAGTTGCACAGGCATTACAAAGGATGCAAATTGAACTCAGCCAAAACAGGGCGGGAATATCTTGATGACCTGATGAGTGAGAGTTCAGAGACATGGCATACTTGTTAAATGTTGCCCGGCAGCTGCCCCCGACAAATGATGGCGGACATTTTCGCGGAGCAGCAAATCTCTGGGCGGCGCTTTGGATGGGGCGGGGAAGCAGATACGCGAAGCAGGATATATATATATATATATATTATATATATATATATATATGTATATATATATATTATATATATATATATTATGCACATCATGTCTTTGACAAACTGTCCGCTCTACTCCAGAAAGTAGCAGAGGCAGAAGAAGGGAGGGGTGAGGAGGTACAGGAATGACGTAAGTCGCTTGTGGAAGGTCGTATTTTTTGTGGTATAGCAGCAGTAGTCGTAGTAGCCGTAGTAGCCGTAGTAGTAGTAGTAGTAGTAGTAGTAGTAGTAGTAGTAGTAGTAGTAGTAGTAGTAGTAGTAGTAGTAGTAGTAGTAGTAATCGCAGCAGTAGTAGTAGTAGTAGTAGTAGCTGTTGTTGTCGCTGTCGTTTAGGAGGCGTAGTAGTAGTAGCTGTAGTAGTAGCAGCAGTCGTAGTAGTGGTCGTAGTAGTTGTTGTTGTCGCTGAGTATGCGTAGTAGTCGTCGTAGTAGCAGTAGTAGTAGTAGTAGTAGTAGTAGTAGTAGTAGTAGTAGTAGTAGTAGTAGTAGTAGAGTAGTAGTAGTAGTAGTAGTAGTAGTAGTAGTAGTAGTAGTAGTAGTAGTAGTAGTAGTAGTAGTAGTAGTAGTGGTAGTGGTAGCAGTAGTAGTAGTAGCAGCAGCTCACACAAATAGCACGCCTATTTCGAGCACAGCGGAGATAGGCCAATCAGCCGAGAGAGCACGCGACCATGTTTTTGTCTTGTCGGAGCTTTACAGCAAAACGGGGAAGCTTAAACAATGCGCAGTCACAAAAGCAATGACCAACAGCACTTGGTGCATTTCTTCAATGATGAGTTTATTTCAGATACACAATCCTCGTGTTGAGTGGGGCCCTGTTCCTGAACATTTGCGCAGCTGCGTGGGTGAACTTAAGTTGCCCAGCGGCAAATTTCCAGGTGGGTTAACAATTCTGCTTTGTATGATAGCCAGCGGGCGATCGTCACCCCTGTCAAGCTTACTGCGGGATCAAAGGGTCATGCAGGTTTTTGATGACGAGTGGAGCAATCAGACAATCGACCGACTGCGCTACTCAATTGTATCTCCCGCAACTGACTCTAAAGGCGTTCGTTTGGCGGAAGGATCAGCCAGCGAAGTAAAACGTTCTTCTAGGCTGCGCCATGTTAACTTTGGTTACTACGCGGACTGGGCGCGGGCTTTCATGGTTTATTTCGACGCACCGGGGAAAATATTTGAGTCTTTCTCAGAGCCATTCGAACTCCTTTCGAATATTGCAGGCATTGGTGCTTTCAGGGCCGTGCATATTTCGCTATGGCTTTTTATCGCGCATGATGTGGACTTTTCTGTGCCAGATGATATGATATACGATTTGGCTGGGCCAAACGTCAGAGAAATGGAAGAGATGTGCAAATATGCTTGCTTCAGTTATGGAGGGTTATACAACATGATCAAGGAAGAACTGCCCCATATTGAGCCAGTGGAACATGAGGCTTGGGCGTGCAAGGTAGTGAATTTCATCTTCCTTGTGAACATGCAAAAGTAACCAAGTTTGCGTTATCGCACTGCCAAATCCAAAGCTGTGCGGCGGCGATTGCAAAGAAGCATAATATTATGTAGTCGATGTATTGCGCTTTTAAATGTTGTGTGTTGGAGGTGCCTGTGAGAGAGAGAAAATGGTGCACCATATGATGCTACCCGATTGTCTTCGACTCGTACCGCGGCCGCGCTGAGGTAACCATTCGATGTCTTATCGATGCAGGCTTCGCGGGAATCTCGACGACATGTATTTGGCTTCTCAGTATCTAGAGTGTTGTTCGCTATCGCACTTTTTTCTTTGATTATGCCAAAGCCTAATGTTTTCGTGAGTTTCAAATGTCCGACACCCAACAAAGCTAAAAACCAAAAAATGTGCCATGACTGCTTCGATTCAAGCGCGACAAGATTCAATTCGGTAGCTTTTGCGCCGTTCGCTACGTGCCCCTTTAGCAAGCAATGCCAGAAACGCACGTTTGCATGAGGGCGGCGGATCCCATATCAAGGAGAGCGCAAAATAAAACAATCACGTTACGACTTCTTGGCGCAACACACATTACACAATGTACTTGGTCTGTCTGTTTCTAAGGTGTTGTTCGTTATCGCCCCTTCTTTCTTTGGCTATACCAAACCCCGCTGTTGACTTCTATCGCTCCTTCTTTGTTTTCGTGAGTTTCAACGATCTGGCATTCAACAAAGCTGAAAACAAAAATGTTGCGCTATGGCCTCTTCGATTCAAGCGCGACGAGATTCAATTCGGTAGCTTTTGCGTCGTTCGCTACGTGCCTCCTCAGCAAGCAATGCCAGAAACGCACGTTTGCTTGTGGGCGGTGGATCCCATATCAAGGAAAACGCAAAACGACAATTTCATGTTACGACCTCTTGACGCAACGCACACTAGACAATGCCCGTCTCAATTTGCGTGCGAGAGAGTGGAATATGTAAGCGTCCAAGTCACATGAGCCAAACAGGGGGGCCATAGGGGAGGGCCACCCATATATATATATATACACACATACATACATACATATATACACATATATGTATACATGTATATATATGTATATACATATATATATATATATATGTATATGTATATGTATATGTATATAGATGGGCCATGAGAGGTGCGAAACAAGGTTGCTTGATTTCTGGATTCATATTTGTTTGTATATATATCCGATATTGAAGCTGAACCGTATTCGGTGTTCCGGGCTTACTTGGTTACTTTGTTCTTTGCTGGCGATGTTGGAGCGGCGTGTAAGGATGCATTAGAAAGCCTCCCCCAAGGGCTGGAGATGATTGTCAGCGCTGGCAAATACACCATATTCACCTTGAACTTGAAGAAGCGCATGCTCCTTATTCCCACCCCTGTGTTCCGTGATAACGTACTTCAGGAATTTCGGGCTTTCGGTGCATATTTCAAAATTTGTCGATTGTCCGGAATGGAAAGTATTTCGGCGCCCACCTATGCTGCGGGGGGACAGAGACTTCCTGGCGGCAGGTCATGAACGCGCTGTCTAAGAGGCCCCTTCAGGTCAAGCAACTCGGCGGCGGGTTTTTCGTATGGGAACACGGCGCACAACGTGTTCGGCCTTCCTGTGGTCAGCCGCGTCGCTCAGATGTGGGGACCTCCAAAGCGGGTCGTTTCGGCGGAAAGTTTGCGTTGCGGCGTCTGACATGTGTTCCGAGGTGCCCCGTTGTTTCCCAGAGGCTATGCGGTATCTTCGGGACCTTGGACATAGATTGGAGGCTCGTCGTCTTGGTGCGTTTGCCACGGCCTGTCCCTTGCGCGCGGCGAGCAATTCCCCCTGATTCCACCCCCCGAAAGATATGCTCTCGGACTTCGCGGCCTCAAGTGACGCATGTGTCGTTTGCCGAACCAGGCCTTTCGCCAGCTGGAGTTTTTTCTTCGCATGTCGGGCACATGCGAAGGTTCCTGTCGCATCAAGTCGCCGACTTGGTTCCGGCCGAAGGTGCGCAGCTGGCCGCCACGAGGATGATTGCCAAACCCTGACCCCAACCCAAGATGTGATCGCCCCCCGTCTGGCCAAATGGGCCCCTGATCGATTGAATGCCGATGTATATTTCCAAGTTTATCAAGATCAACGCTGCTGGACAATATTCCCCTGTATTTATCATGGCTTCTGTTTCGGAAAGTTTTTCAATGGGTGGAATTCCATCCGCAGGTATCGGCAGGGAAGACAGGTCTGTGGATTCAGCTGCTGCGCGGTTGGTGGCGACGATCTCTTCCACTACTCCTCCTGCCCCGCCCTGGTGGATCGCATCCGTTGGGCACTCTCTTGGTTACCCGAACATTGGAGCGATGTTCCTCTGAGTTCCTTCTTCCCTGACCTCTCCCAGATACTTGTCGTGAGCGCTTGCTTTCGCAATTCGTAGCTGTCGACTTTATGCACAATGCGTATCCGATTTGCTGGGACTCTACCTCTGCTTGTTTTCCCGAGCGGATTCACCTTCGGCCTAGATCCAGGTTGACAGGAGGAGCCAGGAGAAGCAACGGTATCCAAGCTTTAGCTAGGGGTGTAAATCTGAAGCTGGGTGTTTTTGGCCGTCCGTCGCCCCTTCCGCCGATGGCGGCCGTCGATCTCCGTCATGTGCACGGAGGTCGAGCAGGAACGCCCAACACGCGCCGCCCGTGCGCCGCGCTGCCTGTTCTGCTGTGCTGGACTGGGACTGGGACCTCCCGTTCGCCCTCCCCGGCGGGTGCGACTCCCCCCCTTCCCCACCCCTCGTCCTCGTCCTCCCCTTCCTTTTTCGACCTCCGCCCCATCGGCCACAGGGGCGTCGGCGGTCGGGGGCAGGCGTCGGCGGCGCCAGCGGCGCCGGCAGCGCCAGCGGCGCCGGCAGCGCAAACCGCTCCTGCCTCAGAAGCCGGCCGGCGCGAGGTTTCAGGATTGGTCAGACCTTGTGCTCGAGCTCCTCGTCTTCCTCGTCTTCTTCGTCTTCCTCCGCGTTCGTTATCGTCCTTATCTTCCCCCTGTTTCCTCATCATCGTCCTCCCCGCTTCCTCCGCTCCTCCGCCTGTTCGTCCTCGTCCTCGTCTTCCTCCACGTTTTCTCATCCTCGTCTTCCTCCCCGTCCGTTAGGCGAACTGCAGTTTGGGCTGACGGGGTCATTGTCCTCCGCCCCCTCCTTATCCTCATCCTGTGCGCGTGCGTTGGAAGACGCCGGGTGGTGGTAGGTTTCCCAAGCTTTGCGCCAAATTCGCGCGTGGGAAACGCAGCCGCTTGACACATCGAGCGCAACACTCAGCGAAGCACGTTCCCACCCAAGCTTCTGCATCGAATTCCGAAGTCACGAGCAGGCAGTTGCTTAAAACCCGTATGCGGGCTGTCGGAGCATCTTTGGGGACTCTTGGGGGTCTCTGGGATGCTTCAGAGGGCTCCGTGGGGTGTCCGAGGCGTGTCTTGGGGCCTCTTGGGGGCATATTGGTGTCTGCCTTGGGCAATTTCGGACCACCTTTAGGCTTTGGGCTATCTTGCGGCCTCTTGGGGGCTGTATTGTGGCAATATTGGGCTCCTCCTGACGCCTTAGAAAAACACATACCCGCTCAGGAACCGTCCAAGCCGTCGACCGTTCACCCTAGGTCGCGCCCTCGGACCCTGAGCGCGCGTGAGCGGCGAGCAGTGGTAGCGGTGTCGCAGAAAAAGGGGAAGCAGGAGCGAGGTGAGACGGCGGACGGGCCCTCAACGCTCGCAGCGTTGGGGCGGGGGACACGGCGTCCCCTTCTCACCTCCAGATCTCCGATCCCCCCTCGTTTTATTCCCTCCCTAGGCTCTGCCTAGAGGGTTCTTACTCTCTTTCGTAAAGGGGCCGGGCAGTGGAAACCGCCCCGGGCGGTTCCCCCAGTATCCGCCCCGCGGTTCCCCCAGTTGCGCCCCTTGGGTTCACCCAGCTTAGCTTAGCTTAGCTTAGCTTAGCTTAGCTTATATCATCTTAGCTTAGCTTAGCTTAGCGTTGCCTAGCCTAGCTTAGTTTAGCTTACCTTAGCTTAGCTTATCTCATCTGAGCTTAGCTTAGCTTAGCTTAGCCTAGCCTAGCCTAGCCTAGCCTAGCTTAGCTTAGCGCAGCGCAGCGCAGCGCGGCGCAGCGCAGCATAGCGCAGCGCAGCATTAGCACAGCATAGCATAGTCTAGCATAGCATAGTCAAGCATAGCATAGTATAGCTCAGCATAGCATAGCATAGCATAGCATAGCGCACCATAGCATAGCATAGCATAGCATAGCATAGCACTGGTTAGCATAACACAGCGCAGCATAGCATAGCATATCATAGCACAGCATAGCATAGCATAGCATAGCGCAGCACAGCATAGCATAGCATAGCATATCATAGCATAGCGCAGCATAGGATATCATAGCATAGCCTAGCATAGCATAGCGCAGCGCAGCACAGCATAGCATAGCATAGCATAGCATAGCGCAGCATAGCATAGCATGGCAGAGCATAGCCCAGCATAGCATAGCATAGCCTAGCCTAGCATAACACAGCGCAGCCGAGCGTACCCTAGCATAGCATAGCATAGCATAGCGCAGCATAGCGAAGCATATCGCAGCATAGCACAGCATATCATAGCACAGCATAGCATAGCGCAGCATAGCATAGCATAGCATAGCATAGCATAGCATAGCAGCAAAGCAAAGGCAAAGCAACACCAACAGCGGCAAAGCAAAGCACAAGCAACGCAAAGCCGGACCTGCAGTGCAGATGTAGATGTAGATGTAGATGTAGGTGTAGATGTAAGTGTAGATGTAGATGTAGATGTGAGTCTCGCTGTTGATGGTGATGTAGATGTGGATGCAGGTGTAGATGTAAATGTAGCTGTCGGTGTAGATGTAGATGTTGCTTTCCTAAATGCTCCAACTCCTAGGTAGGGTCGCACTGGGATAATTAGCGTCTCACTCCCATCGCAGAGGGTGGGCATCAAGTCCCTGGGAGTGGTCGGTACCCTGCGCAGATGGCTCCCGGCACCGCCACCCGCAAAAGGTGCATCAATGTCACGTCATCCACTTCTTCTTACCGGTATCGCACCGCAGGCAGGACTTTGCGAGCATACGCCTCCGTGTGCCAACTCAAAAGTGCATCCTCTTCTTTGCCCGACGTTTGTGACCATTTGGTCTCAAGCGCTCGCCCCCCTGGGGCCCCCCAGCACCGCCACCCGTAATAGGGGCACCACCGTCACCTCATCGACCCCCCATTTACCGCTTTCGCATTGTTTTTAGGGCTATGCGAGGAGATGCAAGAATCCACCAGGAATCTTAGGGCATCTCCAGGAAAACACTTAGGAGTCCATCGGAATCCCTTTTGAGAAATCCTCTTGGAATTCTTTGTAGGCTTCTTGGAGGATTTATACAGAGAAACAAGGGAAAACATATTCCTAGGTGAATCCCACAGGCAGCCCTCGGGAATCCAGGTAGGAATCGTTTAGGAATCGTCAGGAGTCCTCAGCAATCCTTTAGGAATCCTCAGGAATGCTTCGGGAATCCTTTTGGAGTCCGGTGCAACTCCTCAGGGCCCCCGCAGGAATCCCTTAGAAATGAATCCCTTGGGGATCCTCATTAAGAACCCCCGTAGGGATCTCCAAGAATCCATCAGGAAACCGAACCTACCAGAATCCTTCACGAATCCGAGGGAGCGCCTTCTAGGAAACGTGTTTTTAGGAAACGCAAACGAAGCCATTCAAGCGCTTGGAAGCTCAAAGAGTTTCGGTTTGGGTCTGAACCGTTCCGGTTTTATTGTAGATCGAGATTTGGATCGCCCGCTTGGGATCTCAACTGTCCCGTTGAGATTTGAACTTGTGGGGTCTTTTAGACGCTCCTTGGGGCGCTCTTTGGCCGTTTGGGTGCCTTCCTGGCCAGTCTGATGCCGTCGGGAGCATTCGTGCGGGCGTCTCTAGGCCGACTCGGGGCCCTCTTGGGCGCTTCAGGGCCGTTTTGTAAATCATTTCGCGTGTCTTGGGAGCTTTTTGGGCCGTCAGGGGGGCATCTCAGAGGCTCCCTCTGGGTGTTCTTGGCGCCATCTTGGTGGCTTCTGGGGCCATCTTGGACCGTCAGAAATACGAAACATGAGCAAACGCAGAAATGTTTCAAACACCAGATACAGATCAATACTTTCGACCCCTGCGGACCTTTCTGGGGATCATTTTGGATGCCTCTTGGGCCGTCTGGGAGGGA